AAGGATATTTGATACTTCATCAAAACGTGCAGCTGAAGATCAACTAGAAGGAAATAATGCAAAAATGACGAAACATGACGACGATGAAGATGACAAAAAAAAAAAAAAAAAAAAAAAAAAAAAGAAAGAAAGAAAGAAAAAGAGTAGGTGTGATTGAACAAGAGATTTGAAAATAAGCTTTTAGTTCTCCGACAAGCAGATTGTTTTTAGGATTTTTTGCTTCATGTCTTTTGTTTCCATGACAACAATAGTAGCTTTTATAATAATGATCGGTACTTGTATTGCCTGTAGCTCACACTTAAGAGTACCTGTGCCTGAATAGTGATCTGTTGACATTGATGTTTTGCTTTTTGACTCAACAATAATAGCAATAGGTCTGTAGAATTCATTCTGGGGACAATTGGTTATTAAAATAATTTTCATTAAAATACATACATATTACCATTCGTGCTAGTGCATTATCATAATCAGCAAACAATAATTCAATGGCAACATTTATCTATCAGACATATGATATGCATATGTATGTGTATGAATGTAGATGTCCATAGTGTGTGTGTCTTTTTTACCTTGTTTCCATCATTAATTCTCTCTATTAACCTGGCAATCCGTTCGGCCATTTCTCTTTTTCCTATGAGCATGTCATGACGACATAGACCTAGTATCACCAATTCATCTCCTTCGTCTAATAAATTCTACCATTTTTAATTATTAAAATTATTCAAAAGTTATCTGTTTATGTATTTATACTTGTATCGTAAATTTAATGCACTGGTTTGTTGTTTTTTTATTTATGTCCATGGCAACCATGAATGTGCGTGTTCTGGCTGTTCTAATGTAACCATGGCTTGATCGATTTAATATGATGGAATGATAATCCAAGTTATCATCAAGAAAATTAAAAGATACTCTTTGTTTATATTCACTCGCAAGTGATGAACTAGTATCAAAAAATAACAAACTATGTTCCATTTTATGATAAAGGAAAAAAAAAAAAAAAGATTGCGAATTCTCCTAGTGTACATATACACACAAATATCACAAATTTATTTTAGCTGGAAGGCGGTTGCCATGACAATTGTCCATCCAATGGATATTGTTTCAATTTTGCAATATGCGAATGCTCAATATGATATTTTAGCCCATTCAGATTTTTATATCTTTTGTTACAATAGCCTATGGTGCACATGTAGGGTTTTTGTGCATCTCTTTCTGCTTCACTCAGCATATCTTCCTCTGAGTGACCATGCGTTTGATGATATTTCAATCCATTAGGATTTTTGTAAGCTTTATCACAACCTGCTATTTGGCATTTGTATGGTTTATCTTGTCCATCATCTATAGAGAAATATAAGTATAAAAAAAAGAGAAACAAGCCAAAATGCTTGCTTTACCGCATGTCTGATATAAAACTTCTGTTCGCAGAAAGTGAAGATCGGGTGTACCAGGTCTAAGATCATTATCAGGATTAACTAGTGCTGGTAAGGCCTGCTTCAAAATTTCTTCTGTATGTCTACCGAATTTATTATTATTGTTGTTATTTACATTGGATGGGCTGCTTCTTTCGTTAGGCTTTTCTCGAAAGCTTTCAAAGCTGCGAAGTAGTGGGTTCACCAGTGAGGTGACCTCAGTAGGTTGAGTGGATAATGGAGCAGAAAAAGGTGAATCTAAGTCTTCCATGGGTAAATCAGGTTCTTTTGGTTCAGGTTCTTCTTCTATTGGTGCATGGTGATGTTCTTCATAATGATGGAGTAGCTCATGAAGATCCTTAATATGTGTTCCACAGCACACTAAATCACTACAGAAATTAGATTCAAGTTCTCTTTGGTGAACAAAACTGTCTCTATGCTGAAAGATAGCTGGCATAGTATGAGAAGAAGGTGAATAGGACATGGCTACAGCTCCATTATTGCTACTGTTATTGTTGCTATTGTTGTTGCTACGCCATGAGAAGGGAGTTATTTTCGGTTGCTTTTTTTTTTTTTTTCTGTGGCTTACATAGAGTTACGCTTAAATGCAATGTTTATGTTTTGTGAAGCCATCTTGATATGTCACTCTTTACTTCTTGTTTTCAGTCTTTAATAGCAATATAAAAAAGGAAAAAAGTAAACAGTAGGAAAAGGAATAAATGATGTAAAAAATAAAAAAAATAAAAAAATAAAAAAAGAATGGCCTGTCAAAAAGTCTCAGTTTTAGTTGCTGAAAAATTAAATGGCAGGTTTGACATTCTATAATGCATCAACCAATCTTATCAAATGCTTGTTACACACTAAACACACAGACATGAGTAATCTTGAATTATCAGATCTATCCTCTTGTTCTTTCTTAATAAGTGTATGAACCCTTTTACAGATATTTATGTGTATATTATGTAACATCTTTTTATAAAGCTATTTATTTTATAGATAATGGGTATTTGAAATGAAACGAATCATAATCAAGAACAGCTCTATTTTTTAAAGGCAGTGTTGCATATTTCTAATTATATTCTGTAAAGGGGTCTTTATCTTTTGATAGTAACGATATTCATATGATAGTTATTGATTCTACTCACATATATATATATATATATATGTAATTCTTATCTTTTTGTATCCCCTTCTTTCTCTTTCTTTGTTCTATCTATCGCTTACAATATCCACACACACACAAAATCTATAGTTGCATATTCACATACCAACTGGAGTGTATCCCAAAACAAATCTAATTGGCAACTGAGTTTCTCGAAAAGGTCCAATAACAATAAACTTTTCATTCGAATTCAAGTTACGCGTCTTGAACAATGAACTCGTAGCATAATATGAAATTAAATAAAACAAGATTTGAAAGGCATGTCTAAATAAGTTAGATTCACCAACACAAAAAAAAGAAAGGTACAAAGTGTTCTGAATTTGAATACGCTCTTTTACTGTTTTCCCGTGGAATTCGATCTCCATTAGAAATCTCTTGGAATAAGCATTGTGGGAAAAAATAATAAACAAAGGGAAAAAACAAAAAAAAGGAATCAAGAGAAATATCAATCAGAAAAGCAAGCACAATGTGGACAAGTGCGTACACTAAGGCTGTCAAAAGCTATACATTTAGCCCTTGTCATTGAAGACATTAAAAAACAGTGGTAGGCTTCTGCATTAATGGTGCTATGCCTAAGCCACCTTTTCTAGGCCTTTCTACCAGATTCAAGTAGTCCGGGGGTCAACGAGATTTATATATTCCACTAAACCCCCCTTTCAATTTTTAGACTTTTTCTTCTCGTAACTTTAAAATGAACCGTTTGGCTGTCAAAGCTCTTCGTCAACCCTCATCCACCGGTGTCCTTCGCCGTCTTTACTCTTCTCACAAAGAAATCAAGTTTGGTGTCGAAGGTCGCGCCGCTCTCTTGAGAGGTGTTGATGTTTTGGCCAAATCTGTTGCTGTCACTCTCGGTCCCAAGGGTCGTAACGTCTTGATTGAACAACCCTATGGCTCTCCCAAGATCACCAAGGATGGTGTTACTGTCGCCAAGTCTATTGTCTTGGAAGACAAGTTTGAAAACTTGGGTGCTAGGTAAGTGATGCTCATTTTCAATCCATGATAAGATGTACTTAGATAAAATAGACTTGTTCAAGACGTTGCAAGCAAGACGAACGAAATTGCTGGTGATGGTACTACCACTGCTACCGTCTTGACCCGTGCCATCTTTACTGAAGGTGTCAAGAATGTTGCTGCTGGCTGCAACCCCATGGATCTCCGTCGCGGTGCTCAAATGGCTGTTGATGCCGTCGTTGACTTCTTGAAGGCTCACACTAAGGTTATTACAACCCCTCAAGAAGTTGCTCAAGTAAGTACCTTTTCAGGAATAAGAAAACGGTGACTTAGATCTTTTCCCTCAGGTTGCTACCATCTCTGCTAACGGTGATAAGCACGTTGGTAACATGATTGCTCAAGCTATGGAACGCGTTGGTAAGGAAGGTGTCATCACTGTAAAGGCCGGAAAGACAATCGATGATGAATTGGAAGTCACCGAAGGTATGCGCTTCGACCGTGGTTTCATCTCTCCTTACTTCATCACCGATACCAAGACACAAAAGGTTGAATTCGAAAAGCCCTTGATCTTGTTGTCTGAAAAGAAGATCTCTCTTCTCCAAGATGTCTTACCTGCTCTCGAAACCGCCGCCACTCAACGTCGTCCTCTCTTGATCATCGCCGAAGATCTCGACGGTGAAGCCCTTGCTGCCTGTATCTTGAACAAGCTCCGTGGTCAAATTCAAGTTGCTGCTGTCAAGGCTCCCGGTTTTGGTGACAACCGCAAGTCCATTTTGGGTGATATCGGTATCTTGACCAACTCTACCGTCTTCTCTGACGAACTTGATGTCAAGTTGGAAAAGGCTAGCCCTGAATTCTTTGGTACCACTGGTTCAGTTACTATCACCAAGGAAGATACCATCATCTTGAATGGTGCTGGTAGCAAGGATTCCATTGCTCAACGCTGCGAACAAATCCGTGGTGCTATTGAAGACCCTAGCACTTCTGAATATGAAAAGGAAAAGCTCCAGGAACGTCTTGCTAAGCTCTCTGGTGGTGTTGCTGTCATCAAGGTCGGTGGTTCTTCTGAAGTTGAAGTCGGTGAAAAGAAGGACAGGTAAAAGGAACAGATGAATTGAGTGAGCATATAGATATTAAATTCGTTCTGTAGATTCGATGATGCCTTGTGTGCCACCCGTGCTGCTGTTGAAGAAGGTATTGTTCCCGGTGGTGGTGTTGCCCTCTTGAAGGCTGCCAAGTCTCTTGATAGCTTGAAGGGTGCCAACTTTGACCAACAACTTGGTATCAACATCATCCGTCAAGCTATTCAAAACCCTTGCCGCACCATTGTCGACAATGCTGGAGGAGAAGGATCTGTTGTTGCTGGCAAGCTCTTGGAAGAACACCCTGATAACATTAACTGGGGTTATGATGCTTCCACAAATGAATATGTTGATATGATCGAACGTGGTATTGTTGACCCTACCAAGGTTGTTCGTACTGCTTTGGTTGATGCTGCTGGTGTTGCATCTCTTTTGACTACTACTGAATGTATGATCACTGATGCTCCTGTCAAGGCTGGTGCTGGCATGCCCCCTATGGGAGGCATGGGAGGTATGGGAGGCATGGGAGGAATGGGTGGTATGATGTAAAAGCAATATATTATTCTACACATTACAAGTTGTACAAATACCCTCTTCCCTCTTCTCTTTTTCTTTGTGTATTTAATATTTCTGAAAATAAAAAATAGAGAACATAAACAACGTTGCCAGAGAAACGACTTTATGGGAACTAGCAGGATTAAAGGTGACAGTTGCAAAAACTGTTGTGAAACGATTATGCACATTGATTACACCAACATTCTTGCTACACTCTTCGTTCATGGTTAGTTCACTTTTAGAATGTTGTTGGTCAGTGTTGCCTGCCTGGGAAATATTTGAACTTGATAAAAGAAAAAGAAAAAGAAAAAAAAGCATAAAGAAAATAGAAAAAAGAAAAAAGAAGACAAGTGTAAGAAGCGGTTAAACATTCATACCATATTCGAGATAGTATCTGTGTTACCAGACGCCCCCGCTTTTCACACTTTTCTTTCGCTTTTAGCCCCTCACCTCTTTTTTGTTTCGTTTAGCTTACCAATCTACTTTACGTGTTGAATTAAAAAGCAGCCCATTTGAATTACGTGACATAAGAGATGCTGGTTACTGAAACATTTCACGGTTATATTGAAACAACACAGGACGTACTGCTGATATTCGAAGGATGTCGACGTGGTTTACTTCCAAGAATATGTAGAAGGTTACAAGAAAAGGAACGAAATATGATTCGATCTGGCTCTATATTTGTATTTGATGAGCGAGAATCTGGTAACAACCATAGAAAGTTATAGAGTCCTTACAACTGATAGTTGATCATAGGTATCAAACGTTGGACAGATGGTCGTGTTTGGTCTCCTTCACGCATACTAGGAAATTTTCTTATTTACCGTGAATTAGACAAAAAGATACCAGGCGATAAAAGACTTTCAGGTTCTTCGAATGGAGGAAGAAGCTTTAGTGTGGATGGGTCCATCATTGATAAACACAAGGAAAGACAACTGGTGGGATCACTCTCAGATTCATACAAGTTTAAAGAGGATGGGCTGATCAAAAAGACAATGTCCATTACAATCAATGGCGTAGCACAACATCTAATATCATATTATAACCCACAAGAAGTACTTGAAGATAGATTACGCTCACCCTCTTCCGTACCTGAACTTGCAAGCTTAGAGATTTCACCAGAGTTGCTCGTCAAGCAAAATTTCAGAATCCCTCCCTTTGTTGAACCTACCTTTGACCATCAACCCTACCGTAGTATGTCGATTGGATCCCACATCACTTCGTCTCCTAGCACCCCGATGCTTCCCCAGCATCGTCAGCCCTATCATCAACGGCATTATTCAGTCTCATCCTTTAATATTCGTAGTTATGATGGTCATCATGACAACCCAATTATTCAAATGAATACTGCTATAAATACGACCAACGGTAGTAATAGCAATAGTAGTAACAGTAGCATCAGTAGCAACCATAACAATGTATATGACCAACAAGCATTAATAGACAATACAACTAATAACAATAGTAATGAAAGACCAAACCTAGGACAGTTACTAAATCCAATACACCCTCTCCATACCAACGATCGTGATTCGATGGGATTAAGTAGCTACGTACAGTCCCCTTTACATGGCTCAATGGATAGTTTAAACATATTTCAAAACAGCTATCAACAGGGACCACATGATATCAGTTCCTTAATAAATAATTTGAAATAGGTTGTTTTGTATCCGTATAAGAGTATAAACATGCTTTTCTTATTGTAAATATGGTATAATGCCATCCTCATTCTTATGAGTCAAATAAATGTGTTTATTAAACAGGATATGATGCAAATATGCTTGTAGGCACTGGTGCTTGAGGTTTGAAGCCTTGATTTCCAATATAATCACGGACACATAACATGTCGCTCATGATTGTATATGGCCAACCAGCAGCCGTAGCCCTATGTTACCATTCATTAGCGATACATTCATAATAAAAACAAGAGTACTTACGGTGATGTAGGTGCTGCAGGACGAAGAAGAAAAGTACGATCGTACGAATAAGGAGGCGAAGACTCCTCTTCTTTAAATTCACCATGTAAGCAAATGACTAGTCCTGCGGGTGATTGATGAGCATCTACTATAAAATCTTCTGTCTTTTGTAAATCGTGTATCGTCTTTGGTAATCTGCAAAAGGTACTTCCAATAGCTTCCGGGCCAATCAAAAGCCCTTTGCCTTCTTGTCCTATAAGAGAATAAGTTGTCTGCATATTCTTCATTATTAAATTTCATACTTTTAGATTTTCCCATAAGATTTCTACTTATCGATGTCCAGTTCAGCATTTCTTCGTCATCCATCAGCTTCTTCTTATCTTTTCTCTTTAATTTCTGTTGTGAACGAAGTTTGACATTAGTTGTGATTGAGAATACAGAGTCAGCATCGTAGAGAATGGACAGTGTTGGTCTATCTTGATCAAAGGCTTGAAAGAATTTGCATAAAAAGTCAACAGTAACAGAGCGTGTTATTTCGCTGTCAAAAAAGTTTGGTTGATTGTCTAACGGCAACACACGTCCAGTCTTGTGCACCGCAGCTGCTTCTTCCTCTGTCAGATGGATGGGCATACCGTCTAGGAGGACCAAGGTAGGAAATCTTTTGACTATATTTCTGATGTATGCTCTATCACTGTTACGTTGCTTAAACTCTGATTCACGAAGAGGGTTTCCCACTAGATAAAGTTCTCTGAGGTTCTTTAATTTGCCTGTTCCACTGATTGCTTCCAAGCCCTCGTATTCCTTGATGAGATTATCTGAAAGTGATATATTTTGAATGTTTGGTAGATATTGTGCTAATGTCGATATCTGCTGTACGTTTTTTAAGTGGTTACGAGCAAAGGAAATAGACAGGATGTCTTGAAACATTTCACCAGCAAGCTTCATCATGGCTGGGCCAACAATCGCGTTGGAGCCTGGTGCACCAGGTGGACGAATGGCTGATTTCTTCAAGATAGGATCAGAAGCCATATCATCCAAATTCAAGTACTTTGTTTCAACGTTCCATCGACTCTTTAAAAAGTTTCTTAAAATATCAATTGTCGTCAATTTTCCATTTTCAGGACTAGAAGGCTGTAAGGCGGCTGCCAGTGGTGAATTGGGATCAAACAGGCGAATCTGCAATTGCTGTGTACCAAAGATGTAACCATCTAAACGAATCAAAATTCTTGCAATGACTGGATCACTGACAGTTAAAAGCATTTGTCCCTGATTGATTTGTGCATCAACGGCTTGCCACTGTTTCTTGGATTTTTGTACTAGAAATGGTATGATGCCTGCTTCTGTTCCTGGTTCAAATCCTGTGATCTACTAATCGCTTAAGTACTTGAGCTTTGATCAATTTCAAGGTAAGTAACTTACTAGCAAATCTATTCTCTCTGCTGGAGTTGCTTCCATTTTCTTTTCGGCTGGTTTTGGTCGACCATATGGATTACTAGAATAAACAAGTTTATCACTTGATACTTCTTAAGTAGAGAAGTACTTACAATCGTTTTCTATTCTTCTTCTTTTTTCCCATTCCTCCCATATCAATGTCTTCTCCTTCATCAAGAATCTTCTTTTTATTTTCTGTAACAGTTACAGTCTTTCCTGCTGCTTTCGCCTTTAACGCAAGTCCTCTTGACGACTTTTTGTTGGTCGCAGTCTGCCATTTATCATCCTCTTTCTTTTCTAGAGTAGCTGCAGGAATAGCAGCACCGAACATGGCAAATAATCCCTTTGATTCTGACATTGTCTATAGATCGATCAAAACAAAAAGAAAGAAAAAAATTTTACAGTCGTTCCACTGCCAATTCAAGGATTTACTGAAAAAAGTGCGGATTTTAAAAAATAGACGTATTTGGAAGCAACCAAGGGCATACATCTAGATTGCATGCATGAACTATAAAGTTTATTTTATAAACAGCTAATTGACATTTTATGGCTTATAGTTATAAAATGGACAATCATTGGATGACACTGCTGCAAGTACATGTATTGAACCCAGATGTTGACTTAGACCTTTCTACTCACGAAAGAACGATTAAAGAGGAAAAAAAAAAAGCAAATATTAAAAGCAAAGGATCATTTCTTTGCCATAATCCAAAATGTGGTCTGGTTACCAACAAACAAGGCAGTAAAATCAAAAGATTTATTGTTAGGTCTCTCAGCTCTATTACTTTGCCAAACTTTCCCGTGTTTTCAAGCTAGTCTCAGTTAATTCAATACTGAATTTACCAATGTTATTCTCTTCCTTCTTAAACGCAAGAGAATGATTGGGTAGTGACGATATCACTATTAAAGGTAACAAAAAAGACATGGAGCCTTTGAGAGACAAGGAACACAAATAGCATTAGTTTTTGCTTGGGACCGTTAAATCATTTCGGGGATTTAATGTTCTTTATGTCATCGTAAATTTTGACATCCGCTAAAGGTGAAGCGCTTCCCCCGGATTTGGCCATTTCTATGTAAATTTTTCTTCTCGCTCCTTCAGCAACCAAATAGGAAGTAAAGAAAGAATGACAAGTAAAATGATGATAAACTAAAACAATGAATCAATAGAAGAGGAACATTCTGTATAACTTGCATTAACATGTCCACTAAACAAGATTTGGGTTTTACACACGTCGAATTTGTTGATCCCACTCCTCTTCCTGAATCAGTACCAAAGGTTGATGAAGTTGGTGCCACCTCAGCACCTTTGAAGAGCGCTTCTTTCTTCATTGGCCAATATTGTAAAGATTATAACGATGATTTCATGCTCTGTAAAAATGAAAACAACAATCCCGAGCACTGTCTTAAAGAAGGAAGAAAGGTCACTCGTTGTGCCATTGACTTGTAAGTAAACAAGGCTTGAGAGCTCATCTTGTTAAACTTTTATAGAATTACCAAGCTTCGAGAGAACTGTGGTAAGGAATTTGAAGCACATTGGAAATGTTTGGACAACAAGAATCAGGAATTCTACGCTTGTCGTAAGCCTGAACGTGCTTTGAATGCTTGTGTATTTGAGAAATTGGTAAATATGCTTATATAAACAAAAGGGCAACAGAACTAAACTTCTTTGCTGTCTTAGGGCTTGGAGAAAAAGATTCCTGGATCTTCAGTTGATGAACAAATTCAAAACAAAAAGAGCCCAGTTATTAGAAGTCCTTTGAAATAAACATTAAAAAGGGAACACAACAAATTACTTGTATAGAATAATATCAGTTATATAAGCTATGGAATATGCTTGGCTATACATATATGTAATACTGAGTCCATCGTTATCATTTGTAACAAGAGAGGTTGTCATACTTCTCCCTCTCATTGTATTATCCGCCTAATTATGATTTTTTGAGGTGTGTGTACACTTTTAGACAACAAATAACAAAAGAGAACTCGCCAAAAGTAAGAGAATGAGATATAAAAAGCAATGCTTAGTATTTCAATTATTTACGTTAAAAGAGGAGAGTTTATAAGAGAAAGAAGAAACAAAGAAGCCAAAGCCAAGGATTATTTATAATGAATATCTTACAACTTATTACGTGGCTTTCATTCTGTTATAATGTGTTGATCACATTATACGAGTATCCGCATCTTATATCTTTCAAAAAGATGAAGCCCATTTTTTATATTATTACATGCTGCCAAGTTGAAAACAATAAAGAAAATAATGAAAACGGCCATTATGTCTGTGTGGATGACGTCTTTTTAACTCCGATAACACATACGCGTCCTATGATGAGCTCACTTTTCTGATTTCTTTTTTCTTTTTACTAGTCATTTCAATCTCACATGTCTTCATCAAGCCAACCTGAACAAGATCCAAAGACTAAAGCCTTGAGCGCTTACAGAAGAAGGCTTTTAGAGCATCGTGAATTAGATGCTAAACTTAAAGAGAGTAATTATTACATGATTGAACTTTCTGTGCATCTCTTTTAACCTTCAACTTAGTGCGTCTTGGATTACGAGCTCTTGATAAAGAATACGACAAATCAGAAGACGACATCAAAGCTTTACAAAGTGTCGGTCAAGTCATTGGTGAAGTGTTGAAACAATTGGACGACGAACGATGTAAGTTTATATTTTTTATTGTGCCAGACTGGGCCACTTATTGTTTTATTAGTCATTGTCAAGAATACAAGTGGCCCTCGTTATGTTGTTGGATGCCGTAACACAGTCGATAAAGAAAAGTTAAAACAAGGTGCTCGTGTTGCACTTGATATGACTACCCTGACTATTATGCGCATTTTACCTCGTGAAGTTGATCCTCTGGTATATAACATGTCAATAGAGGATCCTGGTGATGTCAGTTTTGCTGGTATTGGTGGCCTCTCTGAACAAATTCGAGAGCTTCGTGAGGTAAGAGTATACATTAAATGTACATGACACATTTTATAACCATAACCGACATCAGGTTATTGAATTACCCTTGATGAATCCTGAACTCTTTTTACGTGTTGGTGTCAAACCCCCAAAGGGTGTGCTATTATATGGTCCTCCAGGTACCGGAAAGACTTTGCTGGCTAAAGCAGTTGCTAGTACACTTCAAGTAAATTTCTTAAAGGTGGTTTCCAGTGCTATTGTTGACAAGTATATCGGTGAAAGTGCTAGATTGATCAGAGAGATGTTTGGTTATGCAAAGGAACATGAGCCATGTATTATCTTTATGGATGAAATTGATGCTATCGGTGGTCGTCGTTTCTCTGAAGGTACATCTGCTGATAGAGAAATACAGCGTACTCTTATGGAATTATTAAATCAAATGGACGGTTTTGATTACCTTGGACAAACAAAGCTTATTATGGCTACTAACAGACCTGATACATTGGATCCTGCATTGCTTCGACCTGGTCGATTGGATAGAAAGATTGAGATTCCATTACCCAATGAGCAAGGACGTTTGGAAATTTTAAAGATTCATGCTGCCAACATTTCAAAGCATGGAGATATAGATTATGAAGCTATAGTAAAACTCTCGGACGGTTTCAACGGTGCTGATTTAAGAAATGTATGTACAGAAGCAGGCATGTTTGCCATTAGAGAAGAACGTGATTATTGTATTCAGGAAGACTTTATGAAAGCAGTAAGAAAATTGCAAGATGCGAAAAAGTTGGAAACAAAGTTGGATTATGAAAAGATTTAATAATAAAGCTACAGTAACCTTTCTTGTAACTTGCGAGCCTTTTTAACTGTACGCATGTTTTGATCATCGTCATGGTTGGGGGATAAACACCAGTAGGTAAGGCGGTAAGCCAACCAAGAAGCCTCTAGGACAAAGTAGCCCATGGTAATTTCGAGTAGACCGATGCCCCAACCAGGATAAAACGCTTTCCATCCACCTTCTGCATATGTTTTCCTCACACAGTCAAAGAATCCGCTGTAGTAAGTGTTGACCTTGAGTACTCCACTATCTTGCACCATGAGTTTAAACAAGATCGTGTCCACTGGATAGCTTATTGTCCGAGTGACAATACTGCTCATCACTCCACATGCAATTTCAGGATAAAATGTGTGCAAGACAGTTGCTTCCTTCTTGGCCGTATCGCTTCTTTTTGATTCTTCCATGAATAGCTTGAAACTGTATTTATAGATATAAACAAGTAGATTTTCTGTCAATATGTTTAATATACAAGAAGGCAAGAACCCAATAGGAACAGTACAAAGACTACGAAAATCAGACAGATTTTGTTTATAGGCTCTAATAAAGTCATGACGATCTCTAATGATGATACGACTGATACTTGAATCAGATTGAATACGGAGAATAAGCGCATTTCTGTACAAGGGATATAATGGAACATTCATCAATAATGTCAATAGTTTGCCTACTGCTTTAGCTGCAGCATACAAAAGGAAATTGGTTTGTTTTGTTGTTAAGCTGGACGTGATCTGACCGATAATTGATTCATAGCTAGCACTGATGGACTGCCCTAACAGGCCAAGACCAAATCCTGGATACAACCTGCGTATACCACCATATTTATAAGTATAATAGAGTTTCATCGCTCCATAGCGTGGTGTGTCTCTCTCAAAGCTATTTTTAACAGGTAAGGCTTGTAGACTATGTCGTGCTGCAACAATGGGAAAGCATAATGTATAATTTGCAACCATGCTGCCAATAGCTAGTACAACACCTGATACATTTTCTTTAACTTCTATCAACTAATTCTTAAGTATATGTAGACATAAAACAAAGAATACACAGAGAGTATGTATACCTTTATGTTCTAAAGGGGCATGATGAGTACTAACGGTTGAAACGATATCAACCTCTGCATTAGCTATTGCCTCAGATAAAAGCCTTATACGTTGAGCTTCTCTTTCTTCTTCTTCTTGATTGTCTACTACAGATCTTGTTTGAATCGTGCTTCCGATTGACAATAATCCTAAATAAGCACTCAATGTCATAAAGAAACACAAGAATTATGGTAATTTTCGTCTTGTAACAAAAGCAACGTCACAACTGAACCAAAAGATTATTACTCTGACTCTTTCTCATCCTTTTTAATGACAAAATGGCCAGAAGAGCACCCTGTCAATGTGAGTATTTTGTTAAGTATATTATCAGGCTTATTTAATAGGAAATAGATTGTAAGCAGAGAAGAAGGAAATGTGAAAGAAGCTGCGAATCAGAACCATGTACTCGGTGTATCAAAATGAAAAGAAAATGCATACCTCAAGAGTTTTCGAGTAGTAGTGATTCTAGTGTAGGAGATGATGACGAAGTAAATGAAAGAAGATATAATGACCTGTACCAACAAATTGAAGAATTACAAATTGAACTACATAATCTTGAAATTGATCTGAATAAACAAAGGTCAACCGCAGCACTTATTAAAAGCGAACCCACGTGGACTTTGCAGATCGAGAATGGACAATTACGGCTTCAGACTGAAATCAAGAGCTTTGAAGAACTATCACTCTATGGAAAGGCATTCTTACGCTATCTGTCACCTTTTGGAAACACATTTAAAAAAGTTTCATTAGTGTTTGAAAATGCCCAGCCATATGCGCTTCATAAGGCTATAACAGACTTAACCAGGCTAGCTGTTGATAATGGCAGTGCAAACAATAACATGTATTCAAATAGCATGATAGCACGTTATATAAAACCAGAAGCATTCATTGATGGACTGATCGATATACACTTTCATTGCTTCGATGTCTGGTTACAGGCAATCCATGAACGCTCATTTAGGAAGAGAATAGAAAAGATAAACAAACTAGAGGATCCCACAACACTAGCGATTTGTGCGAGCGCATCTGTGCACATATGTCGACATAGTTTTCTCAATTCACAAGAAAAGAGATATGTTGGTGAATACTTTTATAAAAAATGTATGGAAAAGTTAATAGATATGTTTGATGATCCAGAACGAGAATTGGAGTCACTCGTCATTATAAACATAATTCAACCATTCTTGTTTACCACGATGAGATTTAACGAATGCAAGAAATGGTCTTCTATCGCTTGGATACTCGCAGAGAGCTTGACTAAAAAGCACCCAGGCTACGCAAACGGAGACGCATCGCTAGATATGAATACTCGAATATTTTATGCAACGATTCACCGTAACCATCTGGCTGCACGTGGCATTTTATCCATAGTTGACCTCTTCTTCAATCATCGATGCGAATGCATTGAACATATTCCTTGTCGATTTGACTTCTTACCTGATGAAAATTCCCTAATAAGATACTCGTTTGAAGCATTAAACTACGTTATACAGCTTGAATCACATCCATTCATGAGTAGAGTGCACAAACGTACGATGAAAGCACTTGTAGGAGAAAAAATAGATTTGACCTTTGAAGATATCGTATGTCACGAGGGTTTTCTGGTCGAATGGTGGCAGAACCTTCCGGAATATATGAAGATCAGTGAAGAACCTTACAATTGTACTAAAGAATTGATCGATTCGTGCAATAGTGTCCAGAAGCTGACCATGTCTCTATATATTCACAGTGTGGCTATAAACATTCACGCAAACCTTGTGAATATAAAGATCAATGGCAATACAGCACAAATCGTAAAAGATAAAGCAATCTATTTAGCATTGTATGCTGCCGAAATCATCTTAATCTTGGCTAAAAAGATTGAAAATCTAGAAGAGATTTGTTTCTGTAAGCAAATAGTTAAATATTATATAATTCAATACTTAATATTCTTTAGCTACAGGAAAATTACTGTTCAGAGTCATGGATGCTCTTACGTTTCTCGTGCAAAGCAAAGATCCCTCGGTTACATTATCAACAAGAAAGAAAATTGAAGAATACATGACTGTATTTGAAAGCGTGATATATTTGGATCAAGAAGTTGCCACACATACTTCACCTCTAACCTTGATTTCATCCACTTCATCCGTATCTATTCAAGAATTGTACAAAAATTATCCCCTCCCTGCACAAGCATTACTGTTTGACGTTGTACACAAAACAATCAAGGATGTTATAAATGTATAAATTTTTTTGTATTATTTCTTCTATAATAAATTATTTTTACTACAATGCCACAAGTCTAACTTAGGGGCCAGATACACAAATAAACAAGACCAAAAGGAAGGAGACGAATAGACAGAATGAGTAAACAAATGGGTGGTTGTATAAGGAGTAGTAAGAATAGCATATAACGTTTTTTTAAGGGGGGAACAAAAAAGGGAGTTTATATATAAATATAAAATGAGACCTACATACAACAGCTTTGTTTTCTGCTTGAATTCTAATTTCATCTCTTTACTTTCTCTTTTAAAATAATAATCAATGACTTCAACAGAAGATCTTTCAGAAATTAAAGATGTCACTGAAGAAAAGATTGTGTCTGCGTTAAAAGAAAGATTTTTAAACGATCAAATATATACTCGAGTAAAGCATTCGTTATTGATCGTTGTCAATCCTTATAAAGATTCTCGTGAAACAATTCAAGAGATCAGTGAAAGATATCTAGCAGAGTATAAAAATACAGACATCAAAAAGAGATTGCCAGCACATATATTCCAACACGTCAATCAGGCTTATTTTCATATGCGTAGAACTCGCATCGACCAGTCTATCTTACTGAGGTATATATATAATCTTTTGGGATGGAAGCTCCTTATATTAAACCTCTATCTCTCTCCTTGGCATCGTATATAGTGGTTTGTGTGGAAGCGGAAAGTCAGAGATGAGCCAATGGATACTTTATCACCTCATCACACTCAGTAACCCGAAAAAACCAACAAAATTACAACAACTAATTCAAATGGCTTACAGCGCCCTGGAAGCGTTTGGACATGCAAAGACAGATGTACATGATAATGCGTCCCGTTTTGGAAAATATATAGAATTACAATTTAATGAAAAAGGAAGGATGATAGGCGCAAAATTCTCAGAATACATGCTGGAAAGATCAAGGATCACCCAAACTAACGGTGACGATCGTTGCTTTCATGTCTTTTACTATATGCTTTATGGGACAACACAAGAAGAAAAATCTCTATTACATCTGGACGAGTCAACGTCATATGACTATTTATTCAAGACAAGGGAGGCAGCACGACTTGTATCTTCCTTTATAGATCAAGATGCTGAAAAGTATAGTGAATTGAGGACTCTGTTGCGATCCCTTGGTATCAACAAGAACACCTTTTTTCAAATCATGCAAATACTTTCAGCTATTTTACACTTGGGAAACCTTCAATTTATGGATGACCCAACAAATGAGCAAGACTCGGCAGTCATAAAGAACAAGCTTGAATTAGAGATCATAGCAGATCTGTTGGGTGTAGAGACAAAGCCATTAGAGTCTTGTCTCACTTACCAGACAAAACTGATCAAGCGGGATTTAACGACGATTTTCTTAAATGCTGAACAAGCATCTCTTCAGCGTGATGCTCTTGCTGAAACCTTATATACACTTTTATTTGCTTGGCTCGTAGAAACTATCAACAAGAGACTCAATATGAAAAAATCAGACAGTTTACAAAACTTTATAGGAATCATTGACTTTCCTGGACCAGCACCTATTCAAACTGGATCATATCATCAATTTTCGACACTTTATGCAAATGAAGTGCTCTACAACTGGATGATGCATCAGCTGCACGAAAGAAATGTTGCCGTTTACTCTGCTCTTAACCTGACGATACCCACTTTATCCAATACACAAATGGACGAATGCGCTCAGTTACTTAATCATCCGCAGACAGGTATAGTAACCCTATTATCCAACCAAGTCTCTTCCCAAGGACGCTTTTTAGACACACTAAAGCAGACGCATCGGAAACATCCTTGCTTGAGTTTTAAATCCGGGGATAAGGAAACACAGTTTGCTATCCAGCACTTTACCGGCAGAGTCTTTTATTCACCATCAGAGCTCGAGACGTACGCAAACGAAGCTGTCTGTACAGATTTTGTGTTGCTATTTGGTCCCAAAGCAGCAGAGGCTCCTACAAACCGACTGGTTAGCAAACTCTTTTCTCAAAAGATAATAGAAAACACAGCACTTGCAGAAGAGCGTACACTTGCGACAACAACAGAGACATCAATAAAAAGACCACTTCGAATAGACAGCATACTCTCGATGCTATCATCAACAAAGACTTGGTACGTTCTTTGTCTTCGTTCAAACGATTTGTTGCTTCCACATTCCTGCGACCCGAAAAAATTAGCAGCGCAGATAAAGTCACTTCACTTACTGCCTCTTGTAATAAGAGCTCGTTTAGAATATACCATTGATATGGATCTGTTGGAATTTTGCGAAAGGTATACAGACTTGATACATACAACGACTGTGGATCTGGCTGCTGAACCCAAAGAAAAATATTTGGCACTACAAGAGGCGCTTGAGTGGAATGAGGATGATATGTTAATGAATGAAGAAAAGGTAGTGGAAACAAAGCCAGTCTATATGCATACATAATAACAAAAATGTAGGTATTTCTGACAGAAGCAGCATGGGAATCCTTAGAAAACAAGTTACGTGCGACAGAAAAACGGGAGCAAAGAAGAGCCAGATGCGCTGCCAAAGGGATACCATTCGGTAATATGATAGAATAGAAAACATGAGAAGCATGTGTATTAAAGCGATCTTAATAGTTGAAGAGTCTGAAGATAATGGTCACGGTGAGTGCCACGAGTCAGTATGTGATCCTGTATCCTGTCAGTCGATGATCGAATCAGGCTCACTTTGTTCTGAAGATTACTATGAACCATGCTGCGAGGCTGCTTTTTATTCGCAAAAGTGTGATCATAGTTTGACTACAGTTACAGCTACCACAATCACATCTGTGTCTGACGAAGAAGAAAAGAGCGAGCACACAGTAAATACACAAGAACAGGAGCAAAATAAGAAAATAAGTCCAAGACGAATAAGTCCATCAAGGGTCTTTTGGATATCAATTACCTGGTTGACAACATGGTGGATCCCCAGTTTCCTGTTATCGTACGGATGTGGAATGCGTAGATCTGACATTAGGATGGCGTGGCGTGAAAAAGTGACCCTGTGTGTGGTTATCTTGCTCCTGTGTGCTGTAATGATATGGTTTATTGCCTTCTTTGGACAACTCATATGTCCCCATCAAGATCTCTATACGCAGTCTGAACTCCAGGCCAAAAGTAGCCGAGACAATGCATTCATTGCTATCCGGGGCGAAGTATTTGACCTGACATCATTTGCTCCTCGCCATTGGGCATCAGAAGTCATACCTACCGCTGCACTCTTTCAATACGCCGGACAAGATGCAAGTGACCTGTTCCCAGTACAGATATCAGCCTTATGCGATGGAGTCGATGGGTACGTGCCTAAAGAAGTAGCAATGGATGCACACATAAACATAACAAACTCGAATGCCGTCTATCATGACTTTCGCGCCTTTCGATCGGATTATCGACCTGACTGGTACTATGAACAGATGGTATATTTGCGAACCAACTATCGTTTAGGTTTTATGGGATATGACCTAGTTGATATCAAGAATCAAGCAACAAGCCCGGTTCAGATAGGTGGCATTCATACAACACGTCGATGGGCTATCTTGCATGACAATGTATACGACTTGACATCATACATGATGGGTGGACGAGTTATTAAAGTACCTGATGGACAAACCGCTCCAGCAGATATAGACATGGATTTTATAGATAATTCCATTATTGAACTTTTTAGACAATTACCTGGCACAGATATTTCTGCACACTTTGATGCTTTACCCTTAGAAAAGGAGGTAAGGGACAGACAGTTGACATGTCTGAGAAATCTGTTTTTTGTCGGAAAAGTAGACACCCGAAACTCCTACCAATGTCTATTTTCCGAATATATCCTGCTTTTGATCACTGCATTTTTATGCAGTGTCATATTATTCAAGTTCCTTGCTGCACTACACCTTGGTAAGAGCTACATGAACGATGATTGCGAACAGTTTATTATTTGTCAAGTCCCTTGCTATACAGAAGGAGAAGAGTCACTAAGGAAAACCATCGACTCGTTAGCTGTCTTGAAATACGATGACAAGCGCAAGCTACTGTTCCTGATTGCAGATGGAATGATTGTTGGAAGCGGTAATGATAGGTCGACACCGCAAATCGTCTTGGATATCTTGGGAGTTGACCCTAACTTGGACCCTGAACCAATGTCATTTCTGTCTCTTGGAGAGGGTAAAAAGCAGCACAACATGGGCAAGGTCTATTCTGGGCTATACGAGTGTTCTGGACACGTTGTTCCGTTTATTGTTGTCGTCAAGGTTGGCACTTCCGATGAAAGACAGAAGCCAGGAAATCGAGGTAAACGAGACTCACAGATGGTGCTGATGCGATTCCTAAACAAGGTTCATTATGACTCACCAATGACACCGCTTGAACTTGAGATCCATCATCAGCTAAAGAACGTGATTGGTGTGAACCCAAGCTTTTATGAGTTTGTGCTGATGGTAGATGCTGATACAGAGGTCTTGCCACATTCACTCAACAGGATGGTATCTTGCTTTGTTCATGATCCGAAAATTGTTGGCCTCTGTGGAGAGACAATGCTGTCAAACGAGAAAGATACATGGGTGACAATGATTCAAGTATATGAATATTATATATCTCATCATTTGGCCAAGGCATTCGAATCTTTATTTGGCTCTGTGACATGTCTTCCAGGTTGTTTCTGCATGTATCGTATTCGATCCAGTATTCGAAATCAACCTTTGTTAGCATCCAACGAAATCATTAATGATTATGCAGAGAACCGAGTGGATACACTTCATAAGAAGAATCTATTGCACCTAGGAGAAGATCGCTATCTGACAACGCTCATATTAAAGCATTTCCCTCATTTCAAAACAAAGTTTACACCTGATGCAGCCTGTATGACAAACGCACCTGACCAGTGGCCAGTGCTCTTATCACAACGTCGACGATGGATCAATTCGACGGTACACAATCTCGGAGAGTTGATGTTCTTACCTCAGCTTTGTGGATTTTGCTGCTTTTCCATGAGATTTGTGGTGATGTTGGACTTGTTGAGTACATTGGTTATGCCAGCTGTTGTTTGTTATCTGGGGTATTTGATATATCAACTTTGTACAAACACAAGTCAGGTGCCTTTAATGTCGATCATCACACTAGCAGGTGTGTATGGGCTTCAAGCAATTATTTTTATTTTAAGAAGAAAGGTATTACAGACAAATATTTACAAATATAGGATGTACTTATATATATATTTGTGATAGTGGGAACATGTAGGATGGATGATTATTTATATTTTAGCAATACCTGTATTTTCATTCTTTATTCCCATATACTCATTTTGGCACTTTGATGACTTCTCTTGGGGTAATACACGTATAGTTGTTGGTGAAAAAGGTGAAAAGAAAGCAGTAGGACCAGATGAGGGCGTATTTGACCCAAGCACGATTCCACTAAAGAGATGGTCAGAATATGAGGAAATGAAACGACAAGATGAGGAAAATAGTCAAACAGAAGAGGAAATGACACAAGAAGATAAACTGATCTATGAAGAGATTGAACGTATTTTTGAGGAATATGACTTGATGGAAATAAGTAGAAAGAAAGTAAGAGATATATTATCAGAAACATTTCAAATGGACATGACATGTAAAAAAGAGTTTATAAATGATTGTATTGATCGAATCTTGTCATAAATAAATTGAAACCTGCCAATTTTTGTTTATTAAGAAAAAAAAGGAACCAGCCATTGAATAAGATAATTCATTTAACTCCAAGACCAAGTGATGGGTACACGACCTTGGCTAAGCTTGGCAATCTTTTGGAAAGCAGCAGGACTCATGTCCACATCACCACTTGAGCAACCAGGACAAGTGTCAACAATCTTTACTGTAACTGATCCACTGGGGCCTTTAACAGTAATGCGTTTACCACAATTGGGGTTCTTGTTTGAGTTTGCACCGTTACCCATTTGAACGTGATTTAATGCGGCAATATACTCAGTTTCAGAGTTGGTCCATCCACAAGATCCAAGACCGGGTGTATAGAACGTGCCGTCACCAGAATATGAGCCACCTCTTGTCACCAAAGAACCAGCTTCGGCGTTTTTCTTGGCAATTGGAGCAGCAGATACAAAGTAAGTGAATGCAAATGTAATGAAGAAGAGAATGTATTTGATAGACATGATAATGATGAAAAAGATGATAATAAAGAAAGAAAGCTCAATTAAGCTGTTCTTTATATACATGTAAATTCAATAGCCGATTAATAGATGGAGTTTAAAGAAGATGATTGCCTAGTATGACCCGATCCTGTCTCCCGATCCCTGGGTACCTTATGTAAACAGGGGCAGCAATCTGGCCTGGACTTTTTGGACGGAAAAGGCATCCGCTTATCCGATCAATTGAGGAATGTACTTTTTTAGCTAATTGATGTTTATTAAATACAGTTTGTTTACCACGTTTTCTGTCATTGCTTTTTTTTGTTGACATAATTAATGCCATGTCTTTACTCTAGCTTTAATGAACAAAATGGCTTGCTTAAGTTGCACTATAAAAAAAGGACTTTTTGTTTCATAATTGAACAAAAGGTCGGACCTGAATGTTGTAAGCGTTTCGGATATATCACTCAAATTAGGCAGACTATATACATAGTATGGGTTGCACCAAGATTAAACTTTTTCCTCCTCTACTACGCAATGCCACATTTTAAAAGCACTGTTCTAACCATTTAGGGTCCGAATGTATTGACAACATTTTAATTAAGCGATCCTAGTTACTAATCTCACAAAATAAGGAGGAAATGAAATCTAAAGGGGGTTCAGTGTCGTTTAGATCAAAAGATACCAGTAACTGAGTGGTATCCATAGAAACTGTTGTTAATTAAATAGCTAGGTGCATGTTAATTAAATGGTATGACAAGTGATTATTCAAGATGTAAAATTATTTCTTACAGTGACAAATTAACCAATCACTTTTATTACAAGTGAATTTTGAGTGGCGCCGCAGGTCGAGCACAGTACTTTACATAACCGCTGGACGTTGTATGAAATGAATGTTTTGATATATTTGTTTTGACACAATCTTTTTTCTCGGAATAAAAGCCTCCCTTGGGCAGCCATACCCAACTAAAGTACATTTGGATACGTACCACTCAAAGTATAAGATTTGTTCATTCCTTGGGTGTTGTTTAAAGGAAAAGCAGCATCGAGAAAAAGCATATGGCTGCTCATACAGAAGATGTAGCCGGCAGATGAGTCTATTGCAATTATTGTTTCATTATATATTTATTGGGCGTGGGTTTAACAAGTAAGCAATAGCATGGAGA